ATCTGTGGTTACTATTACAGCTGCTTGCGGTGTTAGTGCATCAAATAGGTATTTACAAGATACCCTATGACAGGCCCAGCGCCGGGGACCCCGGGACTGGGGAGAAGAAAGGACATGACCCGAGCGTAAATGGGGGCAGATGACAGGCACAATCCTGGTTCCCCTGTTGAATCGCTGTATTCATTTAACAGGCACTTACTAAGTGCTGGTTGTGTCCTAGACCCTACTTCAGGCTATGGATCGAAGCTAACCGAGACAAGTAAGACCCCCACTTCCTTCGTACTTCTCTTGCAGTGGAGGGAAAGTTTAAAAGGAAGTAAAGATAAACCCCATGAAGCTGTACACTACAATGGGTAAATTTTATAGTGTACAAGTTATACTTCAGAAAGGCATTGCAAAGGAAAATATCTTGGTCCTCGTGTAGCTGGCAGTCAGGTCTGTCCCAACACAGTTGATCCTCACCCTTCACACATTTCGTGTCTGCCGATGCTCCTACTCCCTAAAATTTATCTGTGACTCTGCAGTCAGCACTGGGCGATTCTGTAGTCATTTGTGGACACGCACACCGCAGTGGAAACTTTGAGTCACCCGCACAAGCACGTTCCCAGCTGAAGTCAAGCAAGACGACGGCTTGACTTCTAGTTTCAGCCCTCCTGTTGTAAGCAAGTGTCCTTTTTGTGGTCTGTTTTGTGCCACATTTTTTTTTTTTTTTTTGCATATTCATGTGTTTCGTTGCTGATTTTGCTGTTTAAAATGGTCCTCAGCCTGGGTGCTCGGGTGCTATCTATCGTTCATAAGCATGAGGAGGCTCCCGTATGCCCCACTGAGAACATACTTGTGTTAGATCAACCTCTGTAGGCACAAATCGTGGTGCTGTTGCACGTGGGTCCAGAGTTCACTCTTCAGCTGTATATATTAAATAGAGCATCTTTATTTTTCTTAAGATTTTATTTATTTATTTGACAGAGAGAGACGCATAGCGAGAGAGGGAACACAAGCAGGGGGAGCGGGAGAGGAGGAAGCAGGCTTCCCACTGAGCAGAGAGCCCGATGCAGTGCTCAATCCCAGGACCCTGGGATCATGACCTGAGCCGAAGGCAGACGCTTAACGACTGAGCCACCCAGGCACCCCTAAATACAGCATCTCTAAACAAAACCACACATAAACAAGGTTGTATATTGATGGGTTGATGGAAATGTTGTGACCAGAGACCATGTATTTCCCCTGTATTCCCATGTATTTCCGCTAACCCAGTGTCCAGTGACTTCATTGAACAGAACTAATGTGAACAACGAGATGTGGCTGTCAGGACTAGGGAAAGAACACAGGTAGAGCCCGTATACCAAATGTCTGTCTTCTTCAAAGAAAAAAAAGTGGGAGGATTCTTTCAGGAGTTAGAGTAGCGGATTTATATACATTTATATACACCATCAGATCCCATCTTATTTAGCTGAGCTTTTTGGTATCAAATATTGGTGAATCTGTGGAAAATCTAATGAAAATACTAGGATGTGTCAGGAAGTTTTTATTATATTCCCAGGTGTTTGTATGTTGACACAAGTCAACGGAAGTTGACCTAACGTTTTCCACATAGCTAACTGTATTCACATACTTTGATATATGTTGAGATTTGTATTTTGGCCTATAGGATCCTGTAGTAACTATTTTGCTGACAGAGCTAAAAATGTGATTTAAATGTTACTTATAAGGTGTAGCTCCTTTTGCATTTTTTTCACTCTTTTATCCCTTGGGACAAGTTATATAAACACAGCTCAAGTCATAATGTCAAAATAAAATGAAATGAATTCCGAATGGACACATGCGTAGGAAGAGCCCTCAGAGAGCTGGCTTCAGACGTGTGGAGGGAGACGTCAGTATGGGCTGCTGAAGGGAAGAAAGCAAAGAACACAGAGGGGATGTGAGGTTCTTATGTATTCCTGAATTGTTCAGTGCTTTCAGTGTATGTATTTCTTTAGAAATTTAAATAAAAATGTACTTAAGACATAAATTAATTAAATTCTGTGAAGGGCACAGGACAAGTTCCAAGACAGAGACTGGCCTGCCGGGCTTGCCCCAAGAAGATGGTGAGGGCTAGTCTCTGCCTGAGTGGCTTACAGACTTGGCTGCGCATGGGAGAGCTCTGGGGAGCTTAGCAACGTGCTGATGCCCCAGAGGGTCAGATTTGGTGGGCTAGTGGTGACCCAGGCATAGAGATTTTAAAAGCTTCCCAGGGATTCGAATGTGCCAGCTGGAGTTGAACACCAGGACTCTACTAATGGAACTATACTATATCACAGAAATGGACTCTGGCCAACTTAAGGAGGCTCTCTGGGGGTTTGCACCGTTGTTGGGGCTCTGGGGTGCTCCAAGGCATGGCTGTGGGAACTGCAGAGGAAGCATCTGGGTAGGCACATGGCACTGACCAGCCCGTTCCTCCATTCCTGCCCCAAATACAGCGTCCAGGATAAAGTGTCTGATTGACTGGTCTTCTGTCCCAGAGAGTCTGGCCCTGTCAGCCTTCTAGGAGGAAGCTGGTCACCAGAGTGACTGCCTCCCCCAAACACACACATGCATGGACACACATACACACGCACACACAGCTGGGGAGAGGTGTTTCCCCAGGAAATGCTGGTGCCTTCAGGAAGCGGGGAATGGATACTGGTCAGCCAAAAGCTCACTGGAGGCCCAGTGGAGGCCCACTCTATCCCACGAACTTAAAAGAACTTAAAAGATGTGTGCGTTTCCCGGATGAAACTGAATGAAGATTTGTGCCTAGAACACGTGCAGTAGTTGGTAAATACTTTCTTCTTGTCTGCCTTCCTTCTCTCTCTTCCCTCCTCCCACTTCCTCTGGCTCCCACATCTTCTCTCGCAGGGCTGTCAGCCTGAGAAGACAAGGCTTACCCTCAGAGGAGTCATGGCAGACAGTACAGAGTCAGGCAGTTGGGTCAAGGATGCCCAACGGGAGTGGAGCTCAGGAGGGGACCCTCCATTCCTACAGTGGTGGTGGGGGAGGGGCTTCATGATGGCATGATGGCATGTGGTGGGTTAGCACCCAGATGGTGTCAAGAAGGATCCTGGGGGTGACAAGCGTGGTGACAGAGAGGACGGCCAGAGTGATGGCAGTGGGGCAGCTCTCGTAAAAGAGTGGGAGCAGAACAGCTGAGTGAAGCAAGCCAGCCCAGACGCAGCTTTCCATTCTCTGTCTTGCCCATTGAATGGTTGCTGAGTCCTTCCCATGGGCGTCTGGGTTAGTCCCTGTGTGCAGGGGGTGGCACGTGAGGAGAAATACGAGGAGGAGACAGAGAGGGTGGTGTGGGGGCCACAGCGCAAGGCACCTCCAGTAGAAGGTGTCCTCGGACTCCGTGAGCAGTTAGGGAAGGCTTCACGGAGGGGCTGCAGGTGAGCTGGGTTATGACGGATAAATGAGATTCTGATCGATAGGATTTGGTGGTGTGTGTGTGTGCGTCGGAGGGGGTAGTGTAACGGAAGTAGGATACAAAGTGCGAGGGACTAAAACCTCCCAAAGGAAGTAGTGAGTAGCACGTTTTGGCAGAAACAGTGTCCATCTGTTCTAAAGAAACACAGGCAGTTGGACTAGAAGGGAGGTTGGGAGCCCCCTGAAAAAGGTCTTGTGGACCACAGTAGGAAGCTTTTGGGGTGGAGGCGGGGGAAAACCTGTGCGTTCGGATAGGGCTTTGTGTTTTCCAGAACGCCTTCTTATCCCTAGTCTCATTTGACTTTTTCCCTGCGAGCATGACCGAGCATGTCTCAGACAACAGCACAAACACGTGCGAAGCCTCAAGCATCACTGTGGACAAAGAGCAAAGGACACCTCGCTGCAGAGACGTGGGGCTTGGTGACGGGGAGAGTGGCGGAGCACAGTCCCCTCCTCCTGGGTGTGTTGAGAGTCCAGCCCGGGAGGGTCTGCAATGTGTCCCTCACTCCGTTCCACGCTACTTTTGCTGTGCCCAGTGTGTTTCCCCCCACACCCACAGTACAGGCTTCAGACCTTTCTGTCTAGAGGAGAAGCAGTCAGTCGTTGCTGAGGTGTACCCAGGGGCATCCTCCCCAGCTGCGGAACGGTGTGGGTGGTGCTTCTGAGCCCCAGCTGCACATCAGAAACATCTGGGGAGCCTGAAACTGCACTAGCAGCTGGGCCAGCACCACCCAGAGCAGCTGGAGGACCACGGATGTCCCTGATTTTGTGGACAAGGAGACTGAGGCTCGGGGTGCAAGTTCACACCCCTCGCTCATGGCAGAGGCTGCATGTGAACCCAGGTAGTCCATTTCGATCCTTAAGTCCAAGCTTTGAATCCCTGCATTTGGTCCGCTCCTCCTTCAGACCGAGTTGCCCGAGTACTGATTCGGCAGGAAACAGCCGGGTGGCAGGCTAAACCAGGCACAGCCCAAGTGAGATTTTCGAGGTAGCTTTCGAAATAAACAACCACCCATGCGGGGTGTTCCGTCTTGCCCCGTACCCCCCGGCACAGTGGATGTGAACTTCGCAGCTGCAGTTCTCGGTTTCTGAAGCTCGGGTGTCGACTTCTGGGGCTGCTGGCCAGCATGCGGTTAAGGAGCATGCTGGGTACACCTCAGCTCCACGGAAGCTTCTTGAAGTCGGAGTCATTTTCTACCAGTTTCTGTCTTCCACAGCGCCCGTGCCTAGGACTTACTTACTCAGTACTTGAATGGATGGCAGGCGGGTCTGTGCCCTTAGCCTCTGAGCTCTCAGTGTGTGGTTTTATCTGCAGCAAGTACAAGCCTAGATACCGCCCAACGCCCCCTGTTGTTGTTTTGTTTGTTTTTAGTGCAGGCACTGGGAGTCGGACAGTCAAGAAACACAGGGAAACAAACAAACAGTTCTACCTTTTGTGGTAGGACAGGCCTTCAGGTCTGAGATGCAAACAGAAAGGGCCCTGGGGGCTGGTAGCAGGATCTCCTTGTTTCTTTTGACGTGGCCAAGAAGCTGAATTGGAACATTTTTCCTTTCTTTTACAGGTCACCGCCAAGACTGCCTTCCTATTTATTTTACCTCAGTATAACGTTAGTGTGCCTACAGCAGGTAAGAAAAGCGCGATCCCCGTCTTGCCCTGGCCCCGTGAACTCAGAAGGCCTTGGAAAGCTTACTGTTCCTGTCTGTGTACATGCATGGTCTTCTTAGCTGTTAAAGCTCAGCCTCCCACATCCTAGCTCTGCTAAGAGACAGCCTCAAGCCACGTGCAGCCCTCCGCCCATGCCTCTGCCCTCTTAGGCCCCTCAGGTCCCACCGTCAGGAACCGGGCACTGCACCCCTCTTCCAGTAGCAGAGTGCTGGGCGGCCTCTCGGTGAATATAGGAGGAATTTCTGTTCGCTGAATCTAGTTCTTTCTTCATTGGTACAGAGGGGAATCATCTTGTCTTCAAGAGGAGAATCTCTTCTTTGCCTGACTCTCCCAGTGACTCGCTGAAGGATTCTGGGAGCAGTCCCTTACTCCATGGCCTCCAGAGGATGTAGACTCGGGGAAACTAGGCTTTGGGGGCAGCCCGATCCATTCCCTTATTTGAGAGTCAAGCTGTGGGGCACTAGAGAGAGAGGAGGAGAACTCCAAGCTCAGGAAAGGAGACAGGAGCCCCATGGCCAGTGCAGATGGTGAGGAAACAAGACCAGTGCTTCCTTGTCCCTGGCGCACTCCGGCCCTGGCAGGCAGGGAGGGTTGTCGTACTCGGTGCCGTGTGTTCTGAGGTCCGATTACGCTTCTCTGCTCCAGTCCCTCAGCTCTTTTATTAAAATTGAAGTAAAGTCAGAACACAGTGTTACATGAGCTATTCCTGTCTCCTGAAAATCCTAGTACCTCAGCTGCGTCTAGATCCAGTGGTCCATATGATTTACTAACTTAAAAAAGCATTTAGCTTTTCTCTCCTTTTTTAAAGATTTACTTGAGAGAGGGAGAGAGCAAGAAAGAGAGTGAGCGAGAGAGAGCACTGGAGCACGAGCAGGGGGAGGGGCAGAGGGAGGGAGAAGGAGAGAGAATTCAAGCAGCAGCTCAGCTCCTGCTGAGTGGAGCCCAACGACTCGGGTCTCTGTCCCAGGGCCCGAAGGTCGCTACCCGAGCTGAAATCAAGAGTCAGATGCCTAACCAACTGAGCCACCCAGGTGCCTCCTTTTTTCCCTGTTTTTTAAGGAAGTTGTGATAAAACACACATAACACACAATTTACCATCGTTTTATAACCCTTTCTAAGTGTAAGTCCAGGGGCGTTAAGCACATTCATGTTGTGCAACCATCACCACCGTCCATCTCCAGAACTCTCTTTGTCTCGCAACACTGAAGCTCTGGACTCATTAAGCAGTAGCTCCCACCCTCGCCCTCCAGCTTCGGCAACTTCCGTGCTACTTCCCGCCACTATGAAATTTGATGACTCTAGGTAGTTTATGTAGGTGGAATCATATAGTATTTGTCCTCTTGTGACTGGTTGAAATTTACTTTTGTATAGAAACGTTTTTCAAAATATGTGACATGTGACACTCCGAGGAAATTTATAAAATGCAGATAAACATAGGAAGATAAAAATCACACAGGACACCATCACCCAGCTAACCACCACAGTTGACTATTGATTCATAACCCACTATTTTTGCTTTTAGTAGATGATGAGCCTTCTTCCCATGCCATTAATTATTATTCTGTTCAGTAAAATATTTTGAAAAACTGCAGAGTATTTCTTAATAGGGATTACCACAGATTATCTGTTCAATCCCATGTTATTGGATATTTAAGTTTCCAGCTTCTGTTTTAAACAGTGCTACTATAAACATCCTTGGGACTAAATTTTAATGTGCATTTATGATTATTTTTCAGGATATATTCCTATTACTGGAATTTCAGGGTCAAGTACTAGGTACATTTTAAAGGTTTTATATATGCATTGTCAGAATACCCTCTGTCATCTAATTCTTGTGACCCATAAGTCCTAAGTTTTTAGGGTTGGTTTTTTTTTTTTTTTTTTGCAAATTTAAAATGGACAGGCCTTCTCTTTTTTTAGTGTCAGAATGCCAGTGTATTAATTTATAAAGAGATCCAGCTATCAAATGTTGTATTGGTATTTTCATTGCATTTCTCCCAGAAGTCCATTTATATGGGATGCCAGATCATAACCCAACACTGCTTTATTAATTTAGCATGAGAAAGCGTGGTCCTGAGGACTCTAGGAGCTGACGCGCGTGTGACCAGAGCATGCTTTTATTGTAGGAAGGGCCTCAGAGATACTGTGGGTTCGGTTCCAGACCACTGTCATAAAATGAATAGTGCCGTAAAGCAAATCAGATGAATTTTTTGGTTTCCCCGTGCATATAAAAGCTGTGTCTACACTCTCCTGTAGCCTGTTAAGTGTGCAATAGCATGATGTCTAGAAAGCAGAGTACGCACCTTAAGTAAAAAGTAGTTTCTTGCTAACAAATGCTAGCCACCATCTGAGCCTTCAGGGAGTTATAATCTCTGATCACAGATGATCGCCGCAAACATAATAACAACGAAAACCTTTGAAATAGTTTAAGAGTTACCAAAATGTGACACAGAGGCAAGTGAGCAAATGCTGTTGGGAAAATGGCACCAACACACTTGCTTGACACAGGGTAGCCATTAAGCCTTCAATTTGTTAAAAAAAAAAAAAAAAAAAGGCAGTGTCTGCAAAGGGCAATAAAATGAGATATGCCTGTGTGTGTAAAGCCAGATCACGAGCAGAGAGTTAATTTTTGAGTTTGAAACATTCCCAGAGAAATTAGCAGGCAAGTGATACCCTAAAAGAACCTGTCTCCCACTGGGATGAGAAGGTAGACTTCTGGCTCCAGGGCTGAACCTGGAACCTCTGAGCATGAAGCGCTTCCCGCCAGGATTTGGTGGTATGCCACCATTGATCATATCACGCTCTCATTTATTTTTTTGTTTTGTTTTAAAGATTTATTTATTTATTTGAGAGAGTGAGAGAGAGAGAAAGAGAGGCGGGGGAGGGGCAGAGGGAGAGGGGGAGAGAGAGAAAATCCTCAAGCGGACTCCCAGCTGAGCCTGAAGCCTGACATGGAACTCAATCCCAGGACCCTGAGATAGAATCGAGAGTCTTGATGGAATCAAGACCTGAGCCTGGAATCAAGAGTCGGACACTTAACCAACTGAGGCACCCAGGCACCCCTCATTTGTTTGTTTTAAATAATTAATGAATTGATCAATCAGTCCAGACAAATGTGTATATGCCTCCTTGACTGCAAGTCCTGGGGGTTAAGTAATTTATGAAACATGTCTGATTTCTTTCTCTTTTTTAAAGAAAATTTTTATTAAAAAACAATCTGGGAAGGGTATGACCTATTTATTGATGAACAAAGCAGTAAGAATTCCATCTGAGTTCTCAGAAACCATGAAGAAGCAAGAAGAGTGAAGTGACATAAAGTTTTTAATTTTCATTTTCAATTTTTTTATTTGGGTAGAACTGACATACAATGTTACATTAGTTTCAGGTGTACAAGTTAGTGATTAGACAAGTTTATACATTGTGCTGGGCTCACCACAAGTATAGCTATAGTCTGTCACCATTCAGTGCTGTTACAGTATCTCTGACTATATTCCTTATGCTATGCTTTTCATTCCTGTGACTTACTCATTCCGTAACTAGAAGCCTGTATCTCCCCTACTCCTCCCACCATTTTGCCCATCCTCTTCCCTTCTCCCTTCTGGCAACCATTAGAGAACAATACAGTTTGTTCTCTGTATTTATAGGACGATTCTGCTTTTTTTTTTTTTTCTTTTTTTCCTTTTTTCTCATTTTTTTTTTTTTTCCTTTTTTTTTTTTTTTTTTTTTTAAAGTAGGCTCCTTGCCTAGTGTGGAGCCCAACACAGGGCTTGAACTTACAACCTGGAAATCAAGACCTGAGCTGAGATCAAGAGTCAAGACGTTTAACTGACTGAGCTACCTAGGAGACCTTGATTCTGCTTTTTGTTTATTCATTTCCTTTGTTTTTTTAGATTCTACATATAAGTGAACTCATATGGTATTGTCTTTCTCTGATTTATATCACTTAATGTAGTACCTTCTAGATCCATCCTTGTTGTTGTATATGGCAAGATCTCATCCTTTTTAATGGCTGTGTAATACTCTGTTCTCTCTATATATTCTGTGTGTGTATAGACACACACACACACACACACATGCACCACATCTTCCTTATTCATTCGTCTATGGATGAACACTTTGGTTGCTTCCATGTCTCGGCAACTATAAATAATGCTGTAGTGAACAAAGGGATGCATCTTGTCTTTTTGAGTGAGTGTTTTCTCTTTCTTTGGGTAAGTATCCAGTAGTAGAATAATTGGGTCTATGGCATTTCTATTTTTAATTTTTTGAGGAAACTCCATGCTGTTTTCCACAGTGGTTGGACCAGTTTACATTCCCACCGGCAGTGCATGTGGGTTCCCTGTTCTCCACATCCTCACCAACACCTGTTAGTTTTCTGTCTGAGTCTAGCCATTCTGATAAGTGTGAGGTATTCTCGTTGTACTGGTTTGCATTTCCCTGATGATGAGTGATGTTGAGTTACTTTCCACCTGTCTGTTGGCCAGCTGTATGTCTTCTTTGGAAACATATCTGTTCAGGTTGACTATGTATTTTCAATTAGATTATTCGGTTTTTTGGCATGGAGTTGTAGGAGTTCTTTACATATGTTAGATATTAGCCCCTTACCAGATAGATCATTTGCAAGTATCTTTTCCCATTCTGTAGGTTGCCTTTTTGTTTTGAGGACTGTTTCCTTGGGTGTGCAGAAGCTTTTTATTCTGTTGTAGTCCCAATGCTTTGCTTTTGCTTTTGTTTCCCTTAGGAGACATTTCTAGAAAAATGTTGCTGTAGCTGATGTCAGAGAAATTATTGCCTATGTTCTCTTCTTGGATTTTTATGGTTTCAGGTCCCAGATTTAGGTCTTTAATCCATTTTGAGTTTATTTGTGTGTGTGATGTCAGAAAGCGGTCTAGTTTCATTCTTTTGTGTGTGGCTCTCCAGTTCTCCCAACACTATTTATTGAAGAGACTGTCTTTCCCCC